TCCAAGGAGAAAAAAAGGATCTAATGGTACAAAAATGGTTCTCTTGTGAGAAACTTCTTCAAGGCGCGCCGTCTTGAGGAGATCGTGTGCAAAAGCGCGTATTCGATCGATTAACTTGACATTATCGCGTGCAAGTATAAATAGCGAGAGTCGGGGGCTTATTATCTCGCGAACGACTGAACAAAAGTCAGCGAATTCTCTGAAACGGTATCTTCGACTCGAGATGCTAAGCGTCTGAGATGCGACGCTTGAATTCGAAACAGATTCCTCCGGCGGAAACCTAAATCCTCAGAAACACAGTGAAAGTTTCCTGGACGAAGCTAACCGAGACCAATTTCCCGTGTTTCCCTCCTGGCAATAAGTCAACCACCGAAACTCGAAGCTGGGCGTGAGAAAATTTTCCGAAATAATGGAGCACGGCTGGTCGAGTCAACTGCACACGAACGTGAATTTACGGGTGCACGTACGTACACTGGTACGGTTCGAGTGCTCGTAATTAAGTGCATAACGAGGCTTGTTTACACCGAGCCGAGTCCTCGTAATCTCCAGAGCCGCTTAGTCTGCCGTTTTAATCGGACTCTTCTCGGAACGGAATTTACGGCACGCCCATGGTGTACAATAGCTCGAACATGCATCTTCGAGCAGTCGATGAAATCTTTGCCGTTTAACCCTTTCGCTATTACGCACGATTATGGTCGTTCGCTGTGAATGATCACCGGGTGCTGCAATCGTCAAAGACGTTTCACGTATCAAAATAGCATACATGGAGATTTTCATATGAAACAAAAGCATCCAAATTAAACAATTTCTCCTTGCAAATAAAATTTTGGAAGCAATCATAGTGAACAAAAATTTCGGTCACTGTATTTCTTTTTCTTTTTTTTCATTTCAATTCACCGTGCAAAATTAAATTACTCCGCATCAAATAGACCTTTACTAAGTGGTTAATTTGCAGAGCACGCGGCGCGGCTTGTAAAGCGTTTGACATCATAACCGACGCTCTAATTCTTGCCAGCAATCCTTTACCGTTCGATCACGCGAACGAACGAAATTTGACAGAAGACCTTCTGCGAAACGAGTAAACGGTGTTCGATGTGCCAGGGTGAAAATGTCAGACATTTACCACGGATTTCTCTCACCTTTCCGATCAGGAGGCGCATGTCTTTCGCCGAACACCGATGCGCTGTAAATATACTCTCGTGACAGGACGATACGGGTAAAAAGCTTATCGATTAGTATCGATTGCTCGTTTCAACTTACGAACCGAGCAATGTACAACTAGAATTTCTCTTCGCTCTCTTAGATTTCAAACCCACATGAAATGATTATTCGACCCAAGATTATTAAATTTAATATCAACGTAATGTAAGACGATAAAAAATTCGCTGACTTAAAGATCGAAACTTCATAAGCGGTGCTCCGCTTGTAAGCTTACATAAACTCGTCAAATTTCACTTCTCAAGCGAAAGGTTAAGGAGATCGCGGGATGGAATTTTGATCGAAGAAGAGAATTTCTCTCACCTTTGTTGTCGCAGACGTCGCAGAGTACCATGTCCGTAGGTAAGGAGCTTGCGCGTGCATCCGTCCGCGTGATCGCGTCTGCACTGAACAACTGTTGGCACGCCCGGAGGACGCTGGCCGACAAGCGGGCACGTCGACGACGACGGCACGAAACGGAACGGGGACGAAGAGTAACGCCGCGTGAGTATCGACCAAGTTCGATAATGTGTAACCCGGCTGGTTAGAGGATAGCTCGCACGATATCCCTGAGGATGAAGTAGGAAAACGACAGAGAGAAGAAGAAAAAGAAATAGGTTCAGACTTGGATCGAACGATGGCCGCGAAACCGCAGAAGGAAGAGGATGGGGTGACAAAAGGGATGATAGAATAAAAGAGGGAGGATATTGATGGAGGAGCGTGATGATCGGCTGAATCGTGTTGAAAAGTGTTAGCGGTTTGACAGCTAGGTTCGCACTGGAGAGCAGCATCGGCCCATACGCTGGACTCCACGGGGGCAGGATGGGTCTGCGGGTTACTGGAGGGGCAAGGGGAAACGTGTGTTTCATTGTACGCACACCATGGGCCACCATGGAGGGGCAGGGAAGACAGCAGATCAATATTAGGGCGTAGACTCAAGGGCAAGGGCCGTCACCGTACTCTGACACGTGCGTTCGCCTCGTGCTCTTTGGAATCCTGGATATTTCCAGTGCATCGCCACGGTGCATCCTCGTTGCACACCCGATCGATCCTGGAATCCTTATCGAGCTCGCGTACGCCTATTGTGTCGCGAAGCTTACCCGCGCTCTTCCGCTCGACGATCATCGAACACAATTTATAAGTCTTTGCACGATCACCGGTGGTCACTGGGCAGGGTTTTTGCGTTCCATTTGTTTTGCGTGGCTATATGCTTGTCCGTTTTGAATTCCTTAACACTTTGATGATCGTGACGAATATCGAGGAATTTTTATAGCCGTTGCGATAAAAATGTTTCTCTTTATAATAAATAGAAAATTATTATCATTTTGACTACCACGGTCAAAATTAATTAATCTTATGCTTAGTAATTAACGTTTTATAGTGTTTGATTACGTGACAGTAGTCAAATATGAAAATGGTCAGAAGAAACAGGTAGATAAAACTCGGGGGTGGGAAAAATAAAAAAATTGCAACGATTACAAGAAAGGATCGATGAATGATTCATAAATATTTATCGTTTAAACCGTTCCTCGCGGTTCTGACGCAAGACGAAATGTACGCAAGACCCATTGAACGATTACCACTGCATTTTGCGCAATCATTTTTATGAATCCCCACGGTGTAGAGCGATTAGCGCATGTAAAAGCTGCATCATCGGTGCGCAACAGATTTGCCACGTTAAAATTACTCGAAGTACTTAGTGATCGAACCGATCGAGCGTCATTGGACTTTTAATAAACTCGCTTGCTCGTTTTGATACGCATGCATACGCGTGTAATCATTGTTTATAAAAGTTTTCTCTCACGGGAATGCGTTCAAGAAAGTCTGTTACGATACAGCACATTTCAATACCGTTATTTCGTTGGAATATGAAAAAAATTCAATTGCATATGGTACGAAGCTTAATTATCAAGCACGATAAATGTCTATTTTGATGGTAATCGGTAAAATTACAGCTCGAAATTGTATTGTGAAAGTTACCGTAACGTCGAGTCAACCTATCATGGTACTGGAAATATTTTAATGTGTAGTTCAGAAAGTTCGTGCGAAATTTAATGATACCATCAAGGTAAATCTTTATATAATCAATTCAGTTCTATTTCAGAAATTTCTCTAGTTGTATAATCTTAGCATGTTTTTCACTATAAAATCAGATAATTCCTTCGACGTGTATCCTGAGAACAGTGGCCATATGCTTGAGACGTATGGTCTCGGTTTCTTTTTTTTTTCTTTTTAATTTTAAAAGGGATAACCCTTATCGTCTACGGGACTGCTTATGCTACATTTATAGACGCGACCAGTGTAGGGTTAATATCAACCGTTATCGCGAACAAGCCAATATAAAGCACTAAAGAGAACAGGAAAAAGTTATTTCTCCGTTTCCCTCTTAAAAGGCCAGTCTCACGTTCGATTTGTTCGAATTCCCATCGAGTTTTACGAGGGTGTCTGTAATTGTAACGTGATAAAGCATTTTCGAGCCGGGATACCGGGTCGAGAGCAAACGTTTACGTACACCTATCGGATACGTGGCTCACACGTAGGCAAAGATAGAGTAAATCCACATGTACGTAGATAACTGGCAGATAAGAATTGCCGTGCATCGAAAGGAAAAAACGTGCTAGCTGTGCCCGTTCGGTTGCCGCCCAGCAAACTTTCATCACGGAATCAAGGTAAATGGTCTGCTTCGAAGTATGTTGCAGAGAAATTAGTTACATGGAGATTCATGGCGTGAGAATATCCAAAGAATCGCTACCGCGTTCGCGGCAGCGTTCCAGCAACGTTACAGATGTCTAATCAAAAGTAATCTGATTTCATTGATTCATAGAAAAAAGTGTATCAACAATTGCTTAACTGATAATGACGATCGATCATGAAATAGGTAAAGAATTTGACTCATCTAGATCATCTTCGACTATCCTCTACCAAATATTTCTTAAACATAAATGGCTGCCTACTCCACCAATTACCTACGTTAACTAAAGTATCGTGTGAAAAGCTCCAAACCGTTCTCGTTTATTCTCCGACCCAGCATGGTACAAAGTGAAGAGGCCAAATTGTCTGTTCCTCCTAGCTGAATCCATATGTTGGGACATATGTTAGGGACACACTACCCTGACCTGCACTAGCAAACGTGAAGGAGAAAGGGAGCCCCTGAATGTCTAAAAATAGGGGTGCCTCCGGCTAAGGGATTAATGGCCAGCGTCAGTTGTATAATTTTAAACACCCCGGCAAACGTTGCTAATCCAATCTGACCATTCGTGAAACACACCCTTTAGCGAAGGATCTGCGAACAGCAGGGGTCATCGAAATGGCTGGCAGAAATTTCAATAAATCACACTTATCGTTGATAACGGGTGAATTCACGCAAGGCTTTTATGGACAATGGTGAGGAACAATTGGAACTGATTGGCGAATGAATGTGACGCGAAAGATTCGGCAGAGGCACGATATTTCGTGATTAATTTTCGAATGACAGAACAACGTTTAACCCTCGGACGGCGGACCATGAAGAGAGCCGCAATTTTTGTTTAATTTTATATTTCATATTATTTGTATTTTCTAAATTTTTACTGTTCCTCTAAAAATTATTTTCCGAATATGAAGCTCTTTTGTTAAAAAATTATACATTTAATTTTAAATAAATATTCTTGTATTTGGGTTACAACTGACTCAGGCTCTACTGTTCAAGGGTTAAAGTTGGGCAAATGAAATTTAACCCTCGTGTAAGTAATTAGTTAACTGAATACCTATTACAGTTTTGATATTTACAATTTTTTATATTGAAAACCTAAAAGTTCACCCACCTTTCTTTTGATCCTCGCTATCCGAATGGAGCTCGACATCGTGCAGCCTCATCGATTGAACGAATCCTCTCCAATGGCTCCTGGATCTTCCTCTCTCGTTCAAATCAGACTTCAAATCCGCCAATTGTTGATCAGATTCTTTCAACAGTCCATCTAGAATATCTGGCCTGTCCAACTCTTTCGTTTTGATTTTAGAATCTTCCGTTTTACCGAGGGAATTCGAGCAATCAATCTGATCAGACAACGATTCGCTGCTCTTTTCTACATTTTCGACGATCCTCGATGTGTCTCTGATCTTATCGTCCTTTTCAGAGTCGCTGAGAATTCCGTTTGCGTCACTTTTACTTCTGTTCTTCGATTCCCTCCTCTTTCGTACAGGAGGCTGTGGGTGTGCTTCCTCCTGCACAGCCGGATTCTTTCCTTTCTCGGATTGCTTCGAGTCCACGCTGTTCTTTCGCGAGGATGCTTTACTGGACACCCTGCTGTTCGTGTCCTTGGTCGCTTGTTTGTTCGAAGGGATGTTCCTTGGGTTGTTGTAGCGATCCTTCAGCGACTCCCGGTCTCTTCGAGACGCCTCCAACAGCTTCTGAGCCAGTAATCTCGTTTTGTTCATTTCCGTTCCAGATTTCTTCTCGGGTTCGTTCCTCCTCTCCGGTTTCCTCTCGTTTGATCGTCTTACCATGGTTCTGGGCGAGCTATCAGGTGTTTGAAACATCTGTTGGATCTTCATGATGTCCGAGCGAATCTTCGCCGAGTTGGAGAACTCCGTCTTCTTGTTGGACGTCGAAGACCTGACCTCGAGCTTCGTCGCGGTCCTAGGACACCTCTGAGCCGGTGGAGTGTTCCTGAGTCTCTCCAGGTCCTTCAAATCGGCCAACATGGTACTCGGTGCTCTGGGCGGTCTACCGGAACTGTCCACGGCGATGGTTCGCGGTCGATCCCTCTCTCGACCGATCTTCTCCATTGGTATCAGAGCAGGATCGACGAACACGGTGTCTCGGATCTGGCTGATGTTCCGCAGCCTCGGTGCACCGACTTTCAGGCCGGTCGTTCTCATGATCACCTTCCCCATAGACTCGATGTCTCTCTCGCGTGCCAAGCGTCTTCCATCGATCACTTTAGCTCGATGAACGTCGATCGCTGGCACAAACGGACCGTGATACACGGGACCATTAATGGAGGAGGCTGCTCGAGACGTGGACACAGGATGGTTCGGTCTGCTGCTCCTCAGCGGAGATATCCTCACCAACTTGGGGGCATCCCTGGGATCGTCGGTCTGCAAACTGCCTCGGTACACCATCTTCACTTTGCGCTTCTAATTCGACCGTCAACTATGGCGTTCCACTTTTTATGATCGATGAGAAATCATCGTCGCGTACGTGTCTCCGTTCTGTAACACAAAGATTTCCCATAGGAATTAGTACATGATAAAAATAACGTATCCACAATAACTCATCCAGAAAATTACAACGAAGGAATTTTCTAAAACACTTTGAATACCGTCTTCCCGTTTCCCGTGACGAAAAGGGGGACCAAAGATCAGCCTATTCGAATTCGCTTCAGTTCCTTGGATTCGCGTGAACGATCGCAGTAAGAAGCGATGGTTGTTACTTTATCGTCGAGGAATTCTGCAATCTCCTCGAACACGGTAAGTCGCCATTAAATCGATCGACTAATTCAAATGGAAATCGATGGCCAGATATTATTCCTGTCGGCGTGGGACCCGTTCCACGAAGCGGCTTTCCTCTGCTCGGTTAGAAGCCCCCGGTAACTGTTAATCGACGTAAATTAGAATCGAGAGAGTAGTGGTTATTCGCGGCGAAGGCTGTGTCCCAGGAGTCGGTGGGTGTCACCATGTAGGCAGTGACCCGGCCATCTTGCGACACGTACAACATCCACATGTAGGTGTCACGCGCCAATACGACACTCTCGTCTTTCCAACTCGGTATCTAGCCGGTATATTTTAATCGCTCTTAACTCGTGCATTCTAATTACAACGAGATGGGATGTCGGGGGTGATAGTTGACGTTCCCTGCGCCCGTAAATGGACGCCAAGATCAATCATACGGAACGGTTCTTACAGTACGTTCGATTAGGATCGATCGAGTTCCTTTGTCCCCTCTATGTACAACGTACGTCGATCGACTCGCAATTGTTATGCTGCAAATATCTCCGTTCGCTCGCTCAACGATCCGTTATGTAACGCAACGAGTTATGCCTCGAAGAACCGCGCACCACCAATCATCCCGACGCGACAGTTGTTTCAAGTTTCGACGAGTCGATCGTCGTCGAACGAAATCAACGGCCACTGAAATTTTTCCCCGGATCTCGACGATGTATCTATCCTGCGGTCCTCGATGAAAAAGGAAGCTACCAAACTAGCCTCACGACTCGATTGCAAAAGATATCGCATCTTCGTGCGAGTGCATTCGAAATAACACGCGTTACCACGCTCGGTTTTCTGCGGTTTCCTATCGAGCCGAGATGCTGCGAATAACTCGGGAGTTAAGTAACGAGCCGCGTACACGGCGTAACTCATCGATTCCTGCGGTTACCAGCAAAGAAATCGTCATTTCTCCCTTCTAACTCGTCGTTAGAACGCAAAGTTTCACGTCACGCAACAACAACGACCTCCTATTCCTTCGATTCCTGTTCGAATCGCGCCACTTGTTGAATCCGCAATTCCGTACACGCCACCTTGTTACGATCCTTTTTGCCCGGTTATTCATCAATTAGTCACGGCGACTGGCGTAAGCCTGAAAATCTCACACCGTCTATCGTTTACCATAAGAGATTTCCAACAACACTCCTGTCTCAGGAAATTGTTTATCGATAAGGAAACCGATCGACGGAACAAACTCCATCTCCGTTTCCGTTCCGCGCTATCCGGTAATCATATAGATTGGTCCGTTCGAGTAAAACACAGAAGAGAAAACTATTACGATTTACGTACCGTTTCCGGCGTGGACAACGTTGCACAATACGAAGATAGTCGACGATACTCGACGAATAACCACGTTGTTGTAACGAGCCTCTGACTCGGCTATCTTTGATATCTCGACCTGATCGCTACTTCGTCTTTTTCTCGTCCTTCTTGATCGTGGAACTTTAATAACGGAAACTGCTCTACGAGGGCAGCTAGTATCTCGTTAACTCTGAAACAAAAAAAAAACAGTTCATGCATTTTCCATTAAAAGAATGCCAGAACCGTACATTATTACTCGAGGGAACGCGCATCCGTTTCCCTTTCTCCTCGCGTTTTCCTTTGTCGTTAAGTTTTAACAGTTTTTCCGTAGAACTTCACGCTTTGCGTTTCACGCACCGTGCGCGATATATTATTTACATCTCGTACGTTACCGTTCGCTCGGTTGCGCAACGTTCCCCTTCCCGATTTTCACCTTTTCCATTGTCAATTTCAGACTAATTGGCCGTGAATCGGCCAACATAAACACCGAGTGCCGAACGCGAAACGTAATTGCATGCGTGTCTTCAATAACCCTTCCGTGCTTTCCTTGCTTTATCGCGGAACGAAGATCTCGCTCGGTGTATACATATTTATGTTGAGAACTTAGCGGATCTGCTTCCTTCGACTAGTGACAGCCATCCTTTGTAAACTAGACCGATCCCATGGCAAGAGATGATGGGAACCGTCAAGCATGCCAGGAAATATTCTATTTTTACGCGGACACTGATCAACATCCAAGGCTCCCTGTACGGTATTAATATTGACCAACTCGTGGAATCGAACGGGGAGTATCTATAAGGTGAACCATGTAACCCTTTCTCCAAAGTATCGATCCATTAAATCGAACTCACCCAAATGCTTCCGATGACGGAACAGCTGCGCGCACCCTCTTCGAGCAGCCGAACTCCAGTTTCTGCACAGTCAAGATTCTTGTCAGGAATAATTTTCACTGACGAACCGTTCGGGTACCGGAAGTCCACGAATTCGGATTTTACATCGAAAACAAACTATTCGACACGCGCACGTGATCCTGTCGAAACTATAGGCTGTTACAGGGATCGATCGTGATTTCCTCTTCTCCGTTGATCTAATTTCGTTCCAGGATCACCGTCACCGTTAGAAGCCCATTAACCGGCGTCGATGCAACAGCAACGACAGCAACCAAGTTCCTTCGTGCCGTAAGGAGCACTGAATGGGTTTGCCAGCGACCAAATGTATAATCGCGTTTACAGCACAGCTGTAGGTACACCACTCTTTTCCTTTCCATTCCATGCGAGCCAGTGGAGTACCGGAGGATCCCCACTACGTGCACGCGTCCAGCACGAGCGTACACCCACGCGACACCCGGTATACGTGGGCAGACACCGCACTGGCATTGAAAGAGAGAAAAGGAGAGACCGGATCCCCGCCAACTGTCAAATTTTCTGAAACTGTTGCTTCGCGTCACGTGAGATGTCGTTGTATTATGTTCAAACATATGAAATAATTGTTTATATTTATTTTGATCATTTCTGATGGGATATAGGGTCAGAAAACCAAACTCACTCTACTCCCTACTTACAAGGAGAACTACCCAAGTGTTACACTCACTTATTAATGAAACTTTGCCAGCTTGTAGAGCTCGTTGAGCTGAACACGCCTGTACCCTCTTTTGGGGGCAGACGGCTAATTGTTTAAAAGATATTAACAATTACAGTTAGTTACTACTTACATTGAGAAGTATGACAGACTCACACATACAACTCACAATCTAGAGACCCATGGTTCAAATCCTTGATTCCCAACATTTTTTTTTTCTAATGGTAATTCGTCTCTTTTTGAATAACTATTACCAAAAAATTATCATTATAAAAAAAAAAAAAAAAAAAACAGTAACCCAGGATTTGAACCAAGAACCTTTAGATTACGAGTCAGATATTTAACCACGGAGCAGATCCGTGACTTACAACTTGAAGGTCCTCGGTTCAAATCCTTGGTTCCCAAAAAAATTTTTTTTTCTTTATGATAATTTTTATGTAATAGTTATTCAAAAAGAGACAAATTATCATTAAAAAAAAAAAAAAAATGTTGGGAATCAAGGATTTGAACCGTGGATCTCTAGATTGCGAGTTGTATATGTGAATCTGTCATACTTCTCAATGTAAGTAATAACTAACTTTAATTATTAATATCTTATAAACAATTAGTCGTCTGCCCACAAAACGGAGTATAGGCGTGTTCAGCTCGACGAGCTCTACAAGCTGGCAAAGTTTCAATAATAAGTGAGTGTAACACTTGGGTAGTTTCCCTTGTTAGTTATATCAATCTGCATGCAAGACCAAGTCTTTCAGGTTATTTTAATTAAAAATATTACACCTTGGAGAATATGTATATCATTAAGGTTCTACTTTGTAAAACGACAGGTTTTAAAAAACCTGTACCATTTTCAGCAATAGTATTCCTATTCTGTATCTTTCCTTTCGACTTCGTTTCGAAGTCGCTCGACCTTGCAACAAGCTAACGATCGTAATCACCTGTGGTAATTACGCGTGTACTAATTGAATTAAACCTTCGAGCAACGCGCAGCGTATAAATAGGAGGAAAGGTCCTAAAAGTACGATGCTCCCGATTCGAAGGGAATCTCACGCGGTCGTCGATCCTCGCGAAGACCTTCGATTCACGATTTCCATCGGTTCGATCGTAACCGTGTCGACGTCTTCCGTCGAATAGAATCGTCGTTGGCGTGTTTCACAAGTGGCAAGCAAGTCGTTGCGAACGCTAATACCCACCCACGGTTTCGGAGACGGTAATGAGCCTGACCGGTAGTCGCTACGCTGGATTTACGAGACAAACGGATCAACGTAGCTACGTTTCCTTCGTCGTCATTCCTTTCCACGATAAAGTTGTTTCCCGCGAGAACGTGCCTGCCCGCTGATACATCGTCTCTGTTCCTACAACTTCTCTGAAAGAGCCGAAGATTTATACGCGCCCCGTGCAACCGTGTAATAACAGCTTCGAGAGAATGTCTGACTGTTAGAGCGTAGCACATCACAGCCTACAGATGTGTAAATCTTTAAATCTTTCCTTTCCTGCCGTAGACATTACGGTCTCGTTCTTGTTACAATGGGCCACGCCATCGGCATTGGCGTAACTAGGTAGGGGCCAGGGTTACCTTGGCCCCTCCACCTGAAATTATTGGAGTAAATAAAAAACATTTGTTAGGTCGTCGAGTCATTCAATATATATAAATGTATCTAGACCAAAATGCACTTTGCAATGCAGCTAAATACGAAACATACAATAATCTTCTAATCGCGTGTAATTAGGCACTTGAACGTATAGATACATAGGTAGTTTGAATAATTTTAGGGAAACTGGCCCATCCAGACGATAACTTCAGTTACGCCAATGAACGTCGGCCAGTTACACAGCATCGTTTCTCCGTGGAAGTTTCTGCGAACCTGGCCCGTCACCGTGCATCATTGTTTGCTCTTTGACAATAGTCATTATCGGCGAGCATTATTGTTTCCTGGTTCGCAATAGTTGTTCGCTATCATTGTTAGCGGCGCGGCGCGGCGGCTGCGAGTCGGCGCACAGACATACTGCCGAACGATACGCGGCGCGATAATAATGGCATTCTGGACAAGCCCAGAGATGACACAACCTGCTAACAATGACTGCCACGTGCACCGCGGCTAAACGGCTAATAGATTCTTTCGAAAGGTAAGAGAGAGAAAAATAACGATCGCGATCGATCGATTCGCGGTGCGCATTCGAAACGTAGAATCCCCGAGGTCGTCCGGTATTGGAAGCGCAATCAGCTGGACAGGACGCGTAGCGGAGACTGCAAATCGGTGTCCAGTGTCTAAAATTCAGCTCGAGCCTTCTTGTCGCTTTCAATTAACGCGATCACGGCCAGTCTCGGTCGCATCGAAGGCGGTCGATTCCTGTCGAAGCTCATTTCGCGCGTCCATTCCAAGGTTATCCGGTTCTTTGCGCCGACGATGGGAAAAAAAAGATCAGCTCGTTCGAAGATGAGATCAGAGTAGATCGCTCGTGATTAACGTTTCGCGACTAATCGAACCTCCTCGCCGCGAAAAGGAACAAGAACGCGCGAGCACGTTCCATCTTGCACGTTGCGGTTTCCGTGATACAGAAACCGTCTTCACGTCGATACGTCGATCGAGAAACGCTAATGTTGATGCGAAGAAAAGGACTCACTCTGATTCTTACAGTACACGCACGACAAAGTTTGACGGTAGGGAACCGCGACGCGTGCGTGGAACTTTTTTCTAATGAGCCAAAGGTCACTTCCGCTCGTACGGAAAACGGATACGCAGCGCGTGCTCGTCTGTATCCGGCCACCGTGTCGGCAAGAGCTCTTCCCTCGCTCCAAGCTGTCGTTGCACCTTTGTTTACCCGTGAACTTGACTTCGGTTACCTTCAAATCTCATTGTCTTATAACAAATTTAACATACTTAATTATCAATTCTCTAAAACTTGACCTTAGTTTACTCGAGTTGCTACAGGATTTCCATTCTGTCTTCAGAGTGGATTTCAAATTACCCGGCTAGGATGAATTCACAGCGCGGGTCATCGATGACCTTCCGTGACCCGGTATGAAAAATTCAAAGAATGATTAAAATCTGAAACTATGTTTATACCAGTGCGTTCTCTCACGGATCGAATGGTATATAATTTTCACGTCTAAGCAGGGACGTCTGTGTTCGAGGATGCGGGAAAAGTAACGGGGGCCCGGTGTTTTTGCCAAGCAAGCAGATGCTGCTGCTGCGGCTTTGATTCACGTGGGAAGATAGTCGGATTGCTGATGTTCTCCAAAAGGTCGTAGGTCAAGCGTCTCGTACGAATCTATACGTCTTTCGTCGCGAACACGATCCTCCGATAATTAAAGGCATTATGCAACCCCCTACTACTCGTCTTTCGTAATATCTTTATTCAGAACCTTTCGACAATATTTAGATCGTACAAGCGAAATTATAGTTCCCGTTCTCGCGATTTCGTTGCAACTTTCCGCGACTCGTAGTCGCTGGTAATTTAACGGCATGGTAACAGATCGGTTTTAGCAGGATTTCAATATCCTTTATTGAACCGTACGAGCCGTGAATCGAATTATAAACGGTGACTAACGCAATAATCGTGACTGTAAGGTTCATTGAATCCTGGTTGAAATGCTCGCGAGAGAAACGATACGCGGAAATTTGCAACTAATTACCCGTCGATGTTACTGTGGCATGAAGTGAAAGCGATTTCACGCACTGAATAGAAGTACAGAACAAATTAACCAGGCTACCACCTCTTAACACTGGAACACAACCGGGGTTGAATGTTACCTACTTTTTTTGAAGAAAGGAATCAGAATAAATTAGCATATACAACTATCCTTTATCTCGATAAGGATTCGGTTATTCTAGTATTCGTATTGTCCATAGTAACTACTGTAATCTGAAATGTTTGATCTTTTGTTCTTTACGAGGCTTCGAACTCCTCTCTGTTTCGCTTTCACCCGAAAATTTCGCTCAGAAAATGGACTACAAAAGATGAACTGACAAATTTCACCGACTTTACTGCCAGAGAGATTATAATATTTCTTCTCGAGCAACAGTATAGAACACGCCAAAAGTATTCCGCCAGTCAAGATAGCCAGAATTGGTGCGATGCTGTCCAAAGTGACCGTGTTATACCCATTATCATTGGATCTGCTTCTTCTCAGATATGTGTTTCCTAATCTATTCAATATACCGTTGTCTTTGAATTGCTGCAAACTAAAAATATTCGTTAGAATCTACAGTAACGTAGCCGAAGACATATCGTTAATTACGAGGATATTTACTGATAATTTATTATGCCTGTGTAAGGGCTACCCTTATTCAACACCAGAGCCAAGCTGTCGAACCTGGATGCTTCTATGTCGACAACCTCACAGGGAATGGACCCCATGGCGTCTTTTAATACCTGGGTTACGTAAAAGCCCACTTTCTCGGTGCATACCTGCGGATTCGAAGATCAATCAAAAAGCGAATAAATGTAACTTACCGTTTCAAAAATCTGATCAACGCACCTGCAAGAAACCATCGTTCACCGTCACAGCTAAATCCTCCTTCTCCTTCAGTAGATTCTTTAATTTCGGCAGCACACCATGTTTGGCAGACTAAAATAACATTAGCTTTATTAGATACCTTTCTTATCATTACACTATTGCTATTTTACCATTATCGAGTCGTAGTCAGCGCTGTGTTTTAATGCGATCAGCTGAT